GATTTAAATCACCCATGCAAATCAAAGTAGAGTTATCTGTGAGCAAAGATGAAACTTTTTCAATAAGATCAGCGTGATTTAAGTAAGTTTCAACCCCTGAATTGGGTGTAATAGATGAGCAGGTTATATATATTGTATTACCAAAGAATATTAGCTTTGCACAAACAAATTCATTATTTGGGTCGACAAAAATATCGACAGCTTCCGAAGGAATCGAGTGGTGGACTGCAATCAGAACCCCACCACCTTTTTTATTCAACCTATCCTTTCTGAAAATTAGATAATTATCGGGAAATATTTCTGTATCAAGAATATCAGGTTTGAGCCAAGTTTCAGTAAAAACAATTATTTTATGTTCACAGTATACAATTTTAAGGAAAACGTTACTCAATTTAGTGTTAAGAACTCTTATATTCTGATATAGTATAGATTTAGTTGTTTGATGCTGTTTGAATATTCACAGATCTAGGCTTTTTTGTACGTTCTCTGAAAACAAATTCCTCCACTAAGGCACCATCGGGCCAAAACGAGTTAATGACAATAGTACTTAATATTTTGTGAGGCACATTTATTTTAAAAGAGGAAATTTCACGTCGTTGAGAGGAACTAAATTTGAATACATTTATATCGTTATCTGACAGTTCGGTTATTTTAGATTTCACGTAGTTACGAATAGCATCACGTAGTTACATTATGTGGATAATTTGTAGGCTATTGACGATTTTATTTTAGTCTAGTCTATGCATATCTTTATAATTTCCATATTTTGGTTCTTAGTACATTTATCTTAAACTTTGCAATGTAAGTTTAACATAAAACCGTTTAACTTAAAAAGTTTTTTTACTTACAATTAATGTTTTTCCTTTTTATTCGACCTTTTTATATTTTAATGAAACAAGTGTGCTTGAGGTCTCGTTTTTTTACTTATTTTTATTTTCTATTTTTTATTTCGCATTCTGTTTAATTCATTTATGTAGCTGTTTGGAGATGTTTCGGCTGTTTGAGAACAGGCATTCCTGACCGTTTTATAGGAGGCAGTTGTAAAAGATCACCGAAAAGTAATACTTTTACTCCTCCAAAAACGCATTTTCACAGTTTATAATATGCCTTAATCGAGCGTCCATCATGCATAACATTTGATAAAACACCATGGAATTCTCTTCGACAATCAAAAATTCTGTTCTTGTTACCTCATTATACGCGAGTAGTTTCCGGACAGTGGTGACATACCTGTTATACTTTTCTTTCGCTTTTTGAAGACTTCGTTTGCGCTGTGTTGCAGTTTCTGCTTTATTTGTGTTTGTATTTTTTATATTTTTTACCATTTTGTTCCTACGAGTACTGGACATTTAAACGGTCGACCCCCAGAGGTCCAATAAAGGGGCAAGGCTATGTACAACAAGATATGCCTGTGTCTTGAGTGGAAAACGCTAACAACATATCATTTTTATCCACCCTAATCCACCCAATTCTCGCCGCGTTTTAACCTTTCACCTTAACTTGAGTGGAGTACCGCTAACGACGTATCATTTTTAGCTACCCTAACGCCACAAAGTCCTCAACACGATACAAAATCTTAACTTGGGTGGAGGATTCAGGCTGGATTAATCAGATGCCTTAATTACAGATGCAATTTCTAAACTTAAATCTTATTATTATACGCCATTTAGTGGCTGCGTCCATCTTAAACATTGAGTTTGTATAGTGCAGTGTATTCTTCTTATCAAGCCCTTTTATTTGATACTCATATTTGATACAAAATTGTTATTAAAATTGTATTCTACTTGTTGAGACCTTTCATTTGATACTCATGGGATTGATAAAACCTAAGTTATCCGCTATTTTGTAGAAGCCGCCATCTTGGATTTTAATTTTATATAGTACATTGTATTATACTGGTTGGGCACTTTCAATTCATACCCATATTGATGGAATTGATAAACCCTACGTTATCCGCAATATTGTAGAGGCCGCCATCTTGGATTTCTAATGATAATGAATAAACATAATTGTATTGTCACCAAAATCCAAAGTGTATACAAATTTTCCGATTAATCGGTTTACAGGAAGAGGGTGATATTTGAATTACTACTTTGGACCCAAGAATAGAACAAATAAACGGGGTGAGTTTAAAAATGACAGATATATTTTATTTTTTTTATTTAGATGTTCTAAAGCAACGTTAATTTCGCATTAAATAAAAGGAACAACTCTAGTTTAGTAAAAACTCTTCGATTTTTTCGAAAAATTTCCCAGAGGAAGGTATTTTTACCCTGATTCCGGGAAAATATTTTTTCTTGGGGGACGAACAACAGATTGTTGACCCGAAATTCCGCGTTCAAGGCCCGGCATGGACCCGGACTCAGTTACCCGATATAGGCAATATAGGTATCCTTGGAAAGCTAATGAAAATACCTATCCAAAAAGTTGTTATAAATTAAATTTATAAAACCCCCAAGAAGTCCAAAAAGAGCTCATTATTGGTAAACAAAATTGATGCCAAATTATAGCTGACACTCTTACCTTTCAAAAATGCTACCATTTGTGCGAATACCTTCTTCGGATCCGGAGATATGGGTCTTTCAATCCGCGATTCTAACCAGTTCATTAAAATTATGTTTTCAGTAAAAAAAGGTTTATTTCGCGTAGCCGTCGTTGGAATTACAAAAGTTTTCTTAATTTGACACTTTTTGTAAATAGCCGTCCTTCGGCCGGGGCTTGAGATTTTCTACTTTGGGTATGTCCTACACCGGCTAACGCGAACCAAAGTTTTCTAAATTTGACACTTTTGGTAAATTAGCCGGCCTTCGGCCTGGGCTTGAGATATTCTCCTCTGACTATATCCAATACCCGCTAACGTGAACCAAAATTTTCTAAATGTGGTGTTTTGTAATCCAACGACGGTTCGCGTAGCCCTTTTTTTTTTTGAAAACATAATTTTAATGAACTGGTTAGAATCGGGTTATGCGGATGACAAATTGCAGCATTTTGGAAAGGTGAGAATATCAGCTATAAATTGCCATTAATTTCGTTGATCCCCATAATGGGCCCTTTTTGACTTTTTGGGGGTTTTATAAAAGATCCGGGTCAAAAAAATTGATTATTTTTATTTAAAAAAAAAACATGCGCAAAGAGTAAAAACTAAATTCCAACAACAAAGTTAAACTTTTGGAAATCCTACCAACATCCTCACAGACCGTAGTTCAGAATTCACATTTTGGAAATGCTGTCAGCATCATCTCAGACCGTGGTTCAGAATTCGCCAGCGAAGACTATTATGAAACGCAGAATATTACCCACATGATAATAACAAGTGATCTTTTGAGAGGAAATGGAAATATCTGTTATTGACATGGTAAAATTAAGATAAAGTCATTTTAAATAACTAAGCTTCGGCCCAGAGAAGAAGATTAAAACGACGGTGAACTAATTTCGCAGTGAGGCCGAGTTAAGGGAGAATCTTACGAAGATTGTATATGAGGCAATAACATATCAATAAACAAAATGAGTTGCATTTACGACGCGCATAGATAAAGACGTTCTCAAGACGGCTCGCACTAACAATGATTAATATGCATGTTTCTTTTATTTAATTATTTTTTAATTACATTTTAATAAATTGGAATTAAAAATTATATAGTAATAAGCCTTAAACATAATATTGCGTTTTATTGCAAAGGACCCCTATATTACTTCAAATATTAAACAATTTTGATGCCAATTTATATTCAAAATGATATGTCATGTATGGTGCAGCTACATGATGATAATGCCCTTAAAGGAAGTATATTTATTTTCCCCTTCATGAAATAAAATAAAATAAAACGATAAGTGTATTCCTATAGTCTAATGCTATGTTTTCATTGCACTTTCAATCATATTGTTTGCTCTCAGAATTAGGTACACGAATTAACCCGTTCATACGACACGATTCGTAATTTATAGCAAAATAATTCCTTTATTCAAAAATGTTGTTTTTTGATTTTAATGGCAATTTATACGAAAATACATGACATTCTCACTAATATGAATAGAAAAAATTATTGATTTTCTCCCAAAGATTTATTATATCATTAATTTTACAACTTTCATTGATGTTTTGAACTTTTTTTAAAAATGTCGACATTTTGCACAAATTTTTGTATTTTTCTATTTTCAAATTCTGCTGGAGAGACAATTGTCAAATATTTTTTCTGTCGATACAAGAATTTCGAAAATATTGCCTTTTTTATTTCCAGTTTTCTGTGGAAATTTCATCTCGTGGAGAAAATGCGTACCTTGGATGAGAGAGAAAACTAAATTTACTTTCGTTTGAATGTACATACGCCATTCAACATTGTAGTCTTCATTCATAATTTTCAGTCTTCTCAAATTTTTTTAAAATTTCATAAAATGTTTCTATTTTGAATTTTTAAATGTCATAATTAATTTTTTCGATAAATGCTCTCGCTTGTTAGGGATGGCACACATTTCATCTCAGTTCTGAGAGGGATTTAAATGGATCAAAGAACAAAATCTTTTTTTGCTCAGCAAATTTTGTGTGGGGAATTAAGTAGATATTTCTTAATTAATGGCCGAACAAGGAATAGTGAATAGTTCACGTGCCATGTGAACTTAGCATAACATTCGTATTTCGCGTGATTGTCATTTACAGAAAAAAAATATTTGTTACTAAAACCAAAATATGTATCGTCAAATTTACGAACGAAGGGTAAAATATTATTATAAAACCAGGATATAAACAGTAAAAATTATACTTCGTTGTCTTCTTTTGGCTATAATCATTGAAATTACTATTTAAACACGCAGAGATTAATCCATTAAAAGTCTGTGTTACAATAGTATCCCAAATCAAGAACTTCAGCACTGCTCTAGTTGAAGATCCTGGTTTACGACAGCTGAAATGTTATTTAGAAAACGTAGCCCAACATTTTGACATATGACGTTAATAAACATATCAAAAAATTTGTAATAAATATAATGCTGTTTACCTTTTTCAGAACATATATTGCGGAAAAGCGGCCGATGTGTGGGCACTAGGTGCTACACTTTATGCTTTAGTTTTTGGCAACGTACCATTTGTGGCTGACTCCGTGCCAGTACTATATGATAAAATTAAAAGCAGTCCACTTTTATTTCCGGAATCTATAAAAATACCAAAGGAATTGAAAGATTGCATAGAGCGCATGCTGACTAAAGATCCGCAAACTCGCATTACATTACCACAACTAAAGGTAACATACTTACGATAGGATCGCTTGAAAAGGAAACATAAATACAGATTTATTACAGATTCACCCATGGGTTGACGCGTTAGGCGTACATCCTTTACCTAGCGAAGAGGATAACTGTCGGTTGGTACAGGTCGATGATAATGATATTAACACGGTAGTCCGTAGCATACCGAAACTAGACACACTTATTTTGATTAAAACTATGTTAAAACAACATTCATTCGGCAATCCATTCTTACGCGGAGTTTCCGGGAGAGCTCCACAGCGTGGTGGCTCACGTTTGGAACGTTTTGTTCGTGCTGGACGCTCAAACTCGGCCCCTGGGTCCTATCACAACATTGACGATAGGTGAGTAGAATTTTGACAATTCTCATCATCCTTTAATTTTTTCCTATTTTTTCTAGACAATTAGCTGTAGAAAATATACTTCCTGCTCTAACCGAACACACGTCTTCAAACTACTAACAGAATGGTTCTAAGGAGCTCATTATTTGATGTTTCTAATACAAAGAATTCAATTTGAACCATCCTATATACAAAACATAAATATATACATATTGGTTATTTTATAGACTAGAAAATATATACAAATATATAAGAGATATCATCGGAATAAGATACAGCGTGAACAGAACACCGAGATAACGGTCTAGGTTATTTAGCGTACGTTGTTTACACTTATGTACATGCATCTGGATACAATAACTGTGGCTCTCATTTGTGTCCAAATAAGTTCCCAGACATAAGTTTGCACAAATTAGGAATACAAAAATGCATATTTCTGCTGGGCAAAACTGCCTTTTCGCGTCAGTGCTTTAATTAGTTTTAATTATCCATAGTTTTTGTCTTTGTCTTATCTAATAATATAATACATTTATGATTATAATATAGATTTACACTTGAAACACTGTTGGACCATTGGTCTCACGACGTGAGATTGGAAATGTATTTTTCTTACTTAATTAATTGTTACATATTTAGAGTTGAAGTATGTTAATATTTAAATGATATGAAAGCTTTACATACAATATGTGTATATAAGTTATGATAATTTGTTTAATTCCTTTTATTAAATAAAATCTATCTATAACGATCGCCAAAATGATGATAATATTACATTTGCTGTGTTTAAATTTTAATACTAATTTTTTATGCATTAAGTATAGAAAAGCATTTTGGATGAAAATGCTGATCATAGATGGTACGTCAGAAATTGGGATGTATATGACATACATTTCCGACGTATCATACATACGTCGAAAAAGTTTTAAACCTAGACAATTAATAGGAGTTTTTGACAGAAACACAGTGGTTAAATATTCGTCAAGCCTATTATAAATATTAATGCCCTTATGTTTATCATCTGAAAAATCGTTCAATACACTTTTATAAACAGCAACTTGCAACCATTACAGGGAGTAAAGCAAAAAATGTCTATTTTGCAACAGTAAAACGTGGGTGCTCAATTCTTGTTCTATGAAAATCTGAAATGAAAGCTTTAATAAAGGCGACAATTGTGAAATAAAAAATTGTATAAAGAAAAAAGGTTAATTTCACATTTTCATAGAACAAACATCTAACCTTTATTCGAAAGATCAATACGAGACATTAACATTTGAAAATGATTTCGGGGCACCGCGGCTGTTCTTGACGAAGTGCATTCTGGACGTCCAATTTTTGGCCACTTTTTCGAGCACTGCTGGCCGTATGTCACGAATAACACGAAACATGCTGGACTCCAAGGCGTCAATTGTTGCTGGCTTACATGATAGAAGAATATAGGAAGATGCATCAACGCTTGCGAACATTGATATGTCAAAATTTTAAAATTGTTTTGTCAAAAATAAGTACATTTTTATATATTTTCTTATACGATGCAAATCGGAGGTTGTTACAATATGCATTTCTCAACAATTTTTACAAATTTTAATAATTTTTCATTCAACATTTTCAAATCCAAAATCGGTTTGACAGTTCATTGTCCCAGCAACTGTGTCGAAGCGACTACCTGTATTCTTCTACCATGCTGGCTTATCAGCATAAACCAGTGACTTCACGTAGCCCCACAGAAAATAATCGCACGACCTTGAAGGCCAATTGACAGGTCCACTTCTCGAAATCTTACTTATCTTATCGCCAAATGTTGATTTCAATAAGTCGATGGTTGCGTTCGCCGTATGGCACGTAGCGCCATCTTGTTGAAGCCACATCTCCTAACAAAAAACAAAAAATCATTGATCATGGTGCGGAACGATCTACATTGACCGTGACGCGAGCTCTGGCCTCATTTTTGAAGAAATAAGGTCCGATGATGCCACCAGCGTGAAAACCGCACCATATGGCGCATTTTTCTGGATGGAATGGAGTCTGTCTCACTCCATATGCGGCAATGTTGCTTATTAACAAACCCATTAAGTTAAAAATGCGCCTCATCGCTAAACACAATTTTGCGATAAAACAACGGGTCATTTGCCAACTGATCTAGAGTCTGATTTTCACAGTAAATTTGCCAGGTTTCTGGCAAAGAGAGATATATTTAGATATATAAATGGCAACTAAACTAAAATTAACAGTTTATGAACTTAAGCTAGCTTCGCTGCAAGTCTCTGCCAACTCCGCTCTCACGGCATTGTCGACACGTGCGCTGTGTCATCAGTTTTATTCTAGCAAACATCTTATTCCCATAATGTAACCTGATATCATTTATTATGGGAACTATTTGCACTACTTGTTCACATGGTTGATCATATTATCATATTTAGCACAAAAATATTATGAATATGTTGCTCCTTAACTCCTCCCCCTTTAAATTCATACGTCCTCGTATGAACATATTGTCATCACCTTGTTAAAAAAACGGAATATTATTTAGGCTTTTGACCCTCTTGGCAGCCGATGGACATGGTGTATCTGATGTGGTGATCTCCTCTAATTTGTCTTCTTTTTCGGACGTAGTTATTTTTGGGCTACTCTCAGGATTTTTGTGGTAACGCTTGTTTCTAAGGATCACGGCAATTATGATGGTTTTTTTTTTTTTCGTTCGTTCCCACGCCTCTCACACCCGCCCCTGCCGACCGAGGGGGCCACCTCCCTATACGTAGAGAGCGCGCAAACACCAAAGTCCGGACTAAGGCGGGTTAGCAATGGTTTCAACCGGCTACAGAAACTTCATCAGCCAGTAAATAAAATAACAAAAAATAACAGACACACACAGATTAGTAAACAAAGTTAACAAGGTACAGATTTTAAAAATTGCTGCTCATTGGCTGTGTCTACTGTACCGCAAAGGGAAATGTAGATCAAGTGCCAGATGATCAAGCAGCTTAGTAATTTATAACAGAATTTCAATCTACTGTTTACAACTATTACTCAAAGGCGAGTTCTACTAGTTCCGCTTGGGGAGATGTAGATAAGATGCCGTAAAATGAGTTTGGAAAATTAAGACAAAGACATGAAACAATTCACGAAATACTCATTAAACAAACAAAATTACATATGTAGAATATAGTTCTTTATTGTATTTAATGGATTACTTAAGCAAATAGTGTTAAATAAACTGTTATAAATAACACAAAGTGACCTCATAGGGTTGTTAAGTTCATAGTTAGTTCTCGCAAACGATAATTTTAAGGGTTCAAAATTACGAGTTCTGCGAGAAGGAACATTATGGTATATTTCACCTATAAGAAATGGAGAATCAATGAGACCGCGTACTAATTTAATGATAAATAGTGCTCTTAACATAAGACGTCTTCTTTCAAGTGATGGAAGGTCAATTAATAATAACCGACTCTCATAAGGAGGAAGAGGTTCGGAAACGTTCCAGTTTAAACCACGTAAAGCGAAAATTAAAAACTGAATTTGTACAGATTCAATTTTATCAGAGTAAAATTTATAAAATGGACTCCACAATATACAGCCATATTCTAATACTGGACGCACTAAGCTAACAAATAATCTTTTAGTTACGTAAGGATCATCAAACTCTTTAGACCAGCGCTTGATGAATCCTAGTAAAGATTTCGCTTTATTAACGCAAGAATCAATATGCAAATGAAACCGAAGCTTAGGATCTAATATTACGCCCAAATCCACATTATCCAATTTGTGGGAGCCAATAAAGTAATTAGATAATAAAGGTTGGGATCGAAAGAAAGACAACTTTTTGCATTTTTTTAGATTAAGGGTCATACCATTTGCACTACACCAGTTTACGAGTGAGTATAAATCATATTGCAAAGAGATTTGATCGCTAAGTGAATTTGTGTGAAGAAAAAGCTTCACATCATCAGCGTACATTAAAATCTTGGAAAAACGAACTACGTTTGGAAGGTCATTAAGGTAAAGAACAAACAGTAATGGGCCCAAGTGACTTCCCTGGGGTACACCTGATGAAACAATGATGTTCTTCGAAGAGACATCATTAAAAATAACTCTTTGTGTACGATTATGTAAATAGGAGGATATCCAGTTTAAGAGTGATGTTGGGAAACCCATTAAGTCTAGTTTTTGAACCAAGAGTTTATGAACTACCGTATCAAAAGCTTTGCTAAAATCAGTGTAAATAACGTCAGTCTGTTGCTTATTCACAAAGCCTTTATGAACATGACAAGCAAATTCTAATAGATTAGAAATTGTAGATCTACCTTTCATGAAACCGTGTTGACAAGGTGAAATTATGCTTTTTATGTAGTGTAATATTCTTCGTGATACCAAAAGTTCGAAGAGTTTAGGAATGGCGCTTAATTTAGCGATACATCTATAATTACTGATGACACTCCTACTTCCTGATTTATGCAGGGGAATAACAAAACTCGATCGCCAAAAGCATGGGAAATATCCTTTAGATAGGGAGAAATTAAACATTTTAGTGAGAGGTACAGAAATTTCACTAGCACAAGATTTTAAAATGTACGTTGGAACGCCGTCAGGGCCTGGAGAGAATGAGGAGCGTAGTGTTCTTAACCCATAGAAAACTTCGTCATCTGTCAGGATAATACGGGGAAAATGATTTAATTTCTCAATATTATAGCTGTAAGAACCATTAAAAGTATTCTGGGTATAAGAAGATTGAAAGAACTCAGCAAATAAATTAGAAATCACTAAGTTGTCAGAAGATTCACTACTGCCAAGTTTCATACTGCTGGGAAATTTATGTGCTTTCTTTTTGGAATTTACAAATTTAAAAAAGTTTTTGGGATTATGTAGCAAGTTTTGTTTCATTTTTATTAAATATTGGGAATAACATTTGCAGTTTTCAGAGTTGTATCTACTCCTTGCGGAAGAATACTTTGAATAGTTCAGTGCAGTATTCGACGTCTTAAATTTTTTGAATAATCTGCTTTTTAAATTACCTAAACGTCTCAGTGAAGGGGTAAACCAAGCAGGACCCTGATCTAAATTTTGTTTTGCTATAGGTACAGAGCTAGATAATGCAAAATTAAGTTGCTCATAAAATTTTGAGACACATAAGTCAATGTCATCACTTAGATGCCATACAGTGTTAGATAAAATAGAGCGCAGTTTAATAAGGTTTGTTTTCCCAAAGTTACGCCTATCAATAGAAGCATTAACATATTTAGAATTCAGGGAAGCGTTTCTTAATTCGAGGTCTATCGAAAGTGTAGGGTGATAACTGTCTTCAGGGAGTACATAGGGAGAGCATCTAGAAATCGAAATATTCAATGAAGACGAAAAAATTAAGTCTAACAGCCTGTCTTTAACATTTAATACATGGTTTACTTGGTACAGGCAAAGCTCAAATATCTTATCCCAAAAGATATCAAAACCTGTTGGGTAAGTCAGAGGTATGTAATCAAGAATATTTTCACCTGAGGTCCAAGATACCCAAGGAAGGTTAAAATCCCCTAAACAAATTAATGCAGAATTATCTGTAAGCAACGAAGACACCTTTGCAAATAAATCTGCATTATTAAGATAAATTTCAAGTTCAGAATTAGGTGAAATATATGAACAAGTTAAGAAAATGGTATTACCAATGATATTTAATTTTGCGCAGATAAATTCAATATTAGGATCCGCTGAGACATCAATCATTTCTGAAGGAATCGAGTTATGAACTGCTATTAGAACTCCACCACCTTTTTTCGATAATC